CACAGGCCCAAACCGAGGTGTCCAAAACGGCGCGCTTTACTTTTCATATATACAAATATGTGTTTTCTCCTATATTTGAGTCATTGATCATTGCTGCCATGATGGATGAATTCAGTTTTGGTGGCATTTGGTCGTTCATTGTTTTTGCATCCAATATTTGTCTGACAGGGACAAACTGGTATGGGTTGCAAGTGCCCACAGAACCATTTTATGGCTTCAGGTTTGCGTAGAGATTCAAGATTGCCCTGTCCAGTTGGCCAAAGGCCTTTTGCCCACTGCCCTGAACTTGTTGAACCTGCTGTGTGACTATCAACTTGAAGTGGACATATTGGAGTCCCACCATTGGCAAACTTTGCCTGCAGACCTTCGGTGTAAGGTCAATCATGGCTGAGTTGCCGCTCACCTTGTTTTGTACTCAGATTTGAACAGTGGAAGTGGCCAAAGCGACCACCATAGATATAAACTGTTCATGCCTGTCCGTGAGGAACACGACAATCGATTTGGCGAGCCAGGGCATCAATGCTCAGGCAGATTAGAGTTCAGTTTTTCAGTGATTCAGTCTTTATTCCAGGCGGCATGTATGATCATTTCGTGCTGATTACCCCTGCTTGTTTCCAGCCGCTCACCGATCTTTCAAACTGATACTATGTATATACAGGTTTGGCCACATCTGGTCGCTGTCCATTCAAGTGCTGGTGACTACCGTGAGTAGAAACCCTGACCCTGACAATACATGGTATGTCCAAATCCATATTACGGAGTCACATGCCGATCGTTTCCTTCACTGTGCGCTCATTTCAGCTGCAGAACGCCAGGCATTCAAATTCAACAGTTTGACCATGGAGTCATTGTCTCAAGTGAGCGGTATCAAGTGAGAGGTTGTCGGTGATGGATTCCGTTCTATCTATATATACATATACATTATTCTGATTCAGAATTACACAGCTTTTCTTAAAAAAATGTGAACACGCGTAAAGGCTAATCAGTGATAAGAAGTGAAAGCAGAATGGCCAATGCAAGCTTGGAACCTGTACTTACTACGGGTGACTGAGGTCAGACAAGTACATCAGCATCAAAGATACGGCTCCTGATGGGACTGCTCAGGCAAGCTCCAAAGATCAAGTGCATATTGCTCTTTGACCAGTAGACCTGCATTTGTACCAAATTTTCCACTGAAAGTGCCGCAAAGTCTTTGAGATGAGATGTGACAAGTGAAGTGCTTTTGCTGAACGTCCAAGGGTCAGCTTTCTTGCCAGGCTGATTTCCACATTTGTGGTATTTGAGCTTGCTGACTTCTGCAGGTGGTTGTGGTGGATATGCACAACAACAATGCAGTGAACAAGCGTCCCATGAAAGCTGAGGCGCTCTGCGTCCCGTGACCTTTGATCCTTTTTTGAGTACGCAGCACTTTGCATTCTGTAGCTTCCCTTTCCGTACGCAGCACTTCCCTTTGTTGTAGCACTTTCATTGGCTTTCCAAAAAAAAAATATAATCCTGTTTCGCAATGTTACATTTGTTGGAGACAACGGGGGGCAGTTGTGTGACGTACCAACACTCTGCAACCAAAGACGTTGAGGGTCGTGAACCTGTTGCCACCAAAAGTGCCGTGCAGGCTACGCTGATGAACCCTCAGGACAACATCATTGCTCTCAAAGTACGACCCCCCCAGTGCTGCATCCTTTCTGTTTTTTGCGTTCTTGACTAGAAGCTAAGCAGCTCCCCTGTTGCCAATGATTGACCTGCAAAGTTTTCTAACGGCCAAGGCAGCATCAGAAGGACAACCAGGGCATTTTGTGCAGATCTTCAATCTTGACACAAAGGAAAAGCTGCTTGGCGTTACCTGCTGGTCCGGTGTTCTTTCGACTGACCTGCGGATTTGTCTCTATATTGCAACCACCATCGTGGAGTCTTTCTTTTCAAGCTCTCAGTGTTCGAATTGAAGCTGCGCAATTCTCTGAAGCACACAGGCTTGGGGTGTATCAGTGCCCAGAGCAGATTGTCTTCTGGCGTTGGTTGGCGCCCAGAATGTTGGCACTGGTGTGCGCTCAGGACCAGTGGAACTGTTTTGCAAAACAAAGAATATATCTATGAGTTTCTGGAGTTTGTAACAGTCTCACTCAACATCGTACTGTATGTGACATGGAATGGAAGACGAGACAAGCACAGCTTTCACTTGTCCACATTTTCTCACCATGCATGTCGTTTTGAATCTCGGAGAGAAGGATGTCTACCATTGGAACCTGGCCACAGCAAACAGCCAGCCGGAGAAGATCTTTCAGCGTGCCGGCAAATTGGCCGAAGCTGGCACCCAGATTATTAACTACTCCGCGAATAGCCAGGCGAGACTCACCAAAATTAAGCCAGACAATAGGCTTGTTTAGATGTGTGCTTTTTTGATGTGACGGAGAGTGATCCAGAGGGGCCAGAGAGAAGAGAGGTTGAGATGCAGACACAGCCACGCTTTGTGCCTTTGATGTGCAGGTGTCTTGGTGCCTTTTGACAGGGATCTCCTCACAGGACATCAATTCAATAGTAGAGATGGACGTGTGTCTGTCTTTTTCATATTGGCAGCAAGTTGTCTGGAGCATTGAAATGCTGAAATATACAGACGTAAGAATAGATTCATTCACGCAGCACCTATTGGCTTAACTTCCGACATAGGGATATATACAGTAGGACTTGGCTCAATCCAGCCTTTCAATCCAGCCACCTTGGGCAGGACCAGGGAAGGACGATTGATGGCAATATGCAGCTTTACAGCTGTGAACTTAGAAAGCGCGTTTCCCCAAAACTGCACAGGGAACCCCCACAGCAACTTTGTTTTTGGAAGGAGCTTTTTCGCTCCTGAAGACTTGAGACGTTTTAGCGTTTAGAGTTTAGACTTTGTAAGGCTGGTTTCGGCCACAGGAATGCCAGTCACTTCTCCTGACGGTCCTTGCGAACACCTTCAGCCATTACTTTTTCCACACACCCTCAGGTGTAGAACGCAAGCAACAACAGCTCCTTGAGGGCCACGCAGGCAGATCATCTGGCCGTGCCAAACAGACAATCGAAACTACGGTTTGTGCATTGTGTACACGGTGTGCAGTTTCTGTGCGCAGCCGCATTTCACAGTTGCCCCGGCAACTTGATAGTGACCCCCAGATTAGATTGTCAATGCTGCAAGATTGATCGGAGGCCGTCTGGTTCTTTATTTGGTCTGTAGAACACTTGAGGTGATGGAGAGACTTGAAGAATACTTTTTGCAAAAAGCTGCTGTTCAGCTTCTCAACTTGTGTCTCAGCTTCTTGACCAGGCTGCTTCGGGAACGTCTACGTTGACGATGGTGGCGTGAGATGTGGAGTTTTTGCATTCCAAGAAAGGAAGGCAAGAGCGGAGCAGCGGCGCAGCGGAGCAGAGCTCGGGCGTTCCTTCCTGCGTGACGAAGCATTGGTCCACCAATGGTTATTTGTCCTTCTGCTGTTGTTGCAGTTGTTTCTTTGAAGCAAACTTGGTTTCCTCTAAAAACAATTTCTTTGCACCTCTTTACTACCTCTCCAGGCTTGCAAGGGATCTGTGCCAATAAAAGGGTGCTTGCAATCAAGTGCAGAATACTCGGATCTAGTGGACGACTAAACTAGTTTTTTCAACTGGGGGCCGTGCACCACGTTGGCTGGATATGTTTACAATAAGTTTAATAAACGTAGTTCAGGAATAGAAAGGCCATTGAAAGGCAACCAGCTCCCAAATGTGTTCGCACACCAAAAGCAGAACAACTTTGGGTAATGCTAAGAAATTTGTATCAGTCGCCAACGTTCGAATAAGAGTTATATACTGTAAAATAGTACACATGCACAGTCAGGATATGAACCAACCGTCCGGAACGTACGCTGAACATCAGGCTGGCCAGCCGGGAACGAAGCTGCACATCATGGACATCCTCAAGAACCGTGGTGAGTCCGCACCACCCTTCAAGGCCTAATTGTGGTGATTCCGGGGACCTTTTGGACCATTTTTTCAATCACCCGGCTGTTGCACTGTGAAACGGAGTCTTGACACGCGAGAGGATGGAACTCAGAAGATACTGTCAGTTTGTCCTGACAGCTGAAACAAGGAAGTCGAGCACATTTCTTTCCTCCAAAAGCAGCGGGGCATGACACTTCCTGTGGCTTTTTCCACTTTAGAGTTCGTTCAGGTGCAGCAAGAAATCGCCATGCCTCCTGAAGCGCCCACGGACTTTGCAGTGGGCCTTCACCTGAGCGAAAAGCATGGTGTCATCTTCATGGTGACAAAGGCGTGCTCGGATTCTTGTGGAGAAAATTGTCTCCAGACCCCTTTCGTGATGCTGATGATGCACTACTCAGCGTCATTTACATCACTTGCATCACCAAACCGCTTTTTTTGATGCTTTTTTGATGCTTTCCTGACCACACTTTTTTCCGCTCTCCCCCACCAGGCTCAGGGTTCGACCTCCAAAATCTACCCGAGTGACCACCCCCCAATATTCACTTCGTTCACCCTAAGAACTCAAGCCTTGCCTACCGGCTGGCTTTCGTGAAAAAGGCTGCTAAACAATGCTAAACCATTCTTTGCTTTCTGGAGCGTCATTAGCAGAAAGGTCAGGTAGAATGTCAGAAGGTTTGCCAGACAAAATGTCAGAAGCTTTGCCAGATAAAGTGTCAGAAGATAGTCCTGGTGGGGATCGTGCGAATTGGGGATCACTCGAAATGTCAGAAGTTACTCAGGGGATCACTCGAAATAAGTCCGTGATATTTTTTGTAGAGCTTTCTTCTTGTACTTTGATCTTTGAGAAAGAGCGCCCGACGACCAAAAGAGTCAAAAGGGTTGGACACCACGGAGGGAGCCCATGCACGACTAACCACCCCCAGAAGAGAATGTCAGAGGATTTCCCAGATAAACTGTCAGAAGATAGTCATGGTGGGGATCACGGGGATCACTCGAAATAACTAAGTGATTTTTTTCTTCTGTGGCCATGTGTGGAAGACTTCAACACGATGCCCAAAATATCGCCGACCACCGCGAAAGGTGTTGGCGCACGTTTTGTTACTTCTCAGTTCCTTGCACCTTCACCCGGACAATTTTTGTGAGTGCGTGGAGGGAGTGAACGACCGTGCGTTTTGCTGGCTTTCGTCCTCTCCTTTCGGTTTATTGAATGGAGGCTGGATTCCTTTTGTGTCAAAGAAAAGCCTTTTGCAGGCTGGATTCCTCTTCATGTTCGACATCGGCACAGGCACCATGCTAGTCCGCTCCAGGGTGTCCCAGGAGCGACGGATCGTGTTTTTATCTCACAGCTGTTGAACACTTGTTTTCGAGACTGTGTGGTATTTCCTTTTCGAGACTGTGTTTACTTGATTTCATTTGAAGGAGACAGTCTTCATTACTGTTGGTAGTGCCTTAAGTGGTGGCATCATCTTTGTGAACAAGCGGGGCGCGGTGATGAGCGCCAAGGTGCAAGACTGGAACCAAACATATGACCAGCCACACAAGACTGGCCCGAAAGTAGCTGCAGCAGCAGCATGTTCTGCTTTGAGGTGAACGAGGCTGCCATCGTAAACTACATCATTAACCAGCTGGTGCAGATTCCCAATCGCCAGGACCTGGCAGACCTTGTGCTTACTTTGGGCAGCAGAGAAGGGCACTTTACGATAGGGCTTTTGCCATTCTCTTTTTCCAAGGCACTTTACGGCGCAAATGTCTCTGGAAGCCCTGCACTGCAGGACATCGCCTTCAACATGGCCAAGCGCTTTGGTCTTCCGGGCGCCGACGAGTTGTTCCAGCGGCAATTCAACCAACTCTTCGCCTCTGGCGATTACAAAGGCATAGTCTGTCGGTCGACGAGTCTTTGTTCCATTGTCCGTTTTACTGTACTGTATTTGTTTTCTTACTTCATCGGTTGAGTTGGAACGAGGCAGGATTCGTTAGTTTGAGATGTATATAATTGAGTGTCTTGCAGGTTCACACACACACACAGTCGTTTTCTGTTGGATGTTGCCTGAAGGTGCTGCCTTGATTGCAGCACAGTGCAAGAGCGGCCTTTTGCGCACCCCGCAGACGATCCAGCAGTTCAAGAGCGTGCAGGCTCCACCTGGACAGCACCTCTTCAGGCATTAGGCACTGTCTGAACTTCCGCGCACATATGGATGTAGCCTCATCTCAGAATGAGAAGACTGCCAAAATGTACTGACCAAAGGAAAGAAGAAAAGCCCATTGGTAGGGGGATTCTTTCTTCCATGGAATCTTCAGCTCAAACAGCCTGTGAGCTGAGGGCAGCTGCTGCATTGCTTCAGCTGTACAGCTGTGTTCTTTTTTCATCAAGCACCTCTGAGGTCCTCACCGATTTTGCACTACTTTTCCACCCTGTTGGAACATAACAAGTTGAATGCCTTGGAGTCCGTGGAGTTGGTGCGGCCGGTCGTGCAGCAAGGCGGGGGGTGGACGTAGGGTAGGTGAGTGGTTGTGGTTGAAGTCCTTGTGTGATTTCTTTAAAAGATGTTCAAGTCTGTTTTGCACGTCTTTTCTTGGAAAGGCCGGCGTGAGCTCATTGAGAAGTGGCTTAAGGAAGACAAGCTGGAGTGCACTGAAGAATTGGGCGACATTGTGCGACCACTGGAGACCAAGTTTCCTTGCATGCAGTCGGACGAGAAAACTGGGAAACCCTTTGGATTTCCTTCGATCACAAGCACTATTGAAGAAGTCGAATGGACCTTTCCGAAGAAACTGCTTGACCAAGTGAACCTCTCAGGTTCGCGCTGTCCATCTACTTGAGAGCTCAGATTCACCAGAAGGTGATTCAATGCTTCGTGGAGCTGGGCCAGATCGATCAGATTGTCGCGTATGTTCTGACCCTAATACAGACCCCTGCAAGCTCCGCATAGACCAGATCCCCAAACCTAAAAATCATTACAGGTCCCTAAACCCAAAAAGCATCTTCGTGGCAGATCTGAGGTCAAGAGAGTTGGCTACCAGGCGGACTACACTCAGCTGCTTCAAAACATGGCATGATCCCTAGTGCCAAAGTGGCAGATGCTCAGGTGATAACCCCCAATATTTTGGGCCGCTGTAGGAGTTAGGAGGAGATGCCAATTTGAGGTGGCCTCCAATCCAGAGGGTGCGACGAACTTCGCGAAGAGCCTCCTGGAGGTTGCGCGAGTTTGAGACCACTGTGCAGTCATGCAGGTCAAACTTGCACAAAATGACGACTAGCTGCTCGCTGTTGCCAGCTGCCGAAACAATACGCTTTCAGAGCTTGCTGATGGACTTGTTGCCGCAAACATAACAAAGCCCACGACATGTGTTTCTTTATGTCTTGTCTTTGGGGAGGGGCATCAACAATCTGACTCAGTTTTTGCAGCTGCCTTCCGGGGCCAGGGCCAGAACGGCGTGCCACTCATCGATATCAATCAGGCGCCGATAGCTGTCGTCTTTCTAGCCATGGTGCTTGGCATGGCCTGGCATGGGTTGCCACTGCTCTTTTTGGTGCCAGTGTATTTGTTTGAGAGATGTGTTGGAGAATGAAGTGAAAGAAGTGCTTTGGTCATTTGCACCCTCGTAGCTACCAAGGGATCCTTGCCTCATCATAGCCAAGTCTCTTGTGAAAGTTGTGAAACCCAGTGGGTCCCTGTTGCCCTCTCTAGAACTAGACACGTGCAACCTACGACTCCTGGAATCTCACAGGTAGATCATCATTTGAGTGAGTCAGTGCGTGAGTCAGAGAGTGAGTGCGTGGGTGAGTGAGTGAGTGCATGGGTGAGTGAGTGCGTGGGTGAGTGAGTTGGTGAGTCAGTGGGTCAGTGATGGGGGAGAGCTTTTGTGCTGTAGTGTGTGCAGCCACGCCAGCAGGTTGTGAAGGTCTTCATGGACCAGAACAGGTTGCAGGAGACCACGTCTATCCTGCTCGATGCTCTCAAGGCACCTTAATGAATGCAAGAGGATCTCTTTACAAGTGCAGAATACACGGAATATGATATGAATGATCAGCCAAATAAGGGCTTCTAGATATTTCTCGCGACGAATCCTTTTGTCTCGTGACGAATCTGGCCGTGTGGCCTTGACCTCCAGCGAGGCCAACAAGCCAGACCAAGCCCATTTGCAGGTCGGGCGAACTCAAACGCCTCAATTGCGAACGGTACTTCACCGGCGAACAAAAAGAGCACCAAGCTCTACGGAGCTCTAGTGAGCATACAGTTGACCCTATCTATGGAAGAATGATGATTATTTCTGCTTCATTCCTGTGATTTTGGTACTGTAGGTCGCCAAATGAGATGCCTGCAGACCCACCAAGTGCAAATCTGAATCATTGACATGTAGTCCTGAACCGGCAGTCCGCCAAGACATGGTCGTGGCGTCTCTTTCGCCAGACGCAGCTGCTGGCCATGAACCTTCAGCAGGCACCAAAGGTGGCCGAGGCCATCCTGCAGATGTCCGGGGATCCCAGAAATCCAGCGAACGGCCCTGAACGAGAAGTTCTTTTTGGTACCGTAACCGGGAGCAAAAGAGGTGGATCACCTACAGGACATTCTGGAAAAAAAGCCCGTGGGTTCTTTTTAATCGCAATTGTTTGAAAGGTCGACCTGTCATTAGGAAGACAAGAACCCAATTAGGGAGTTGCAGCCGATATTGATTTGGTGGGTCGAGTTGCAGCCTGTTGGTAGTGGAGAATGTGTCCAGGGGTTGCAGGGCATCAAACCCAAGAGAAGTGAGATTATATGAGATTATCAAGTGTGGCAGTGTGGCAACAATTTGTTTCGTGCGCCGCCGTTAAGAGTTTAAAGGTTGGAGGTCGATAGTTCTCCACTTGAGCAGTTTGCCAAATACATTCTGAAAGTAGCATTGTCCAGACAATATTGTAACGTGGCCCAGGGTTCCGAACTGGGCATGTGCGCAGCAACTATCCAGGAACATGTTCACCCACTACGACCGGGCTTACATCGGCCAGCTTTGCGAGAAAGCCGGTCTCATGCAATGGGCCATGATCCTAGTTGAGGAGTTTGGAATTGGTCAGGAAAAAAATATATGACCAGGTACTTGTGCAAAAAGATAACAGTGCAAACAGGCAGATAGCTCCCTGATGGCCTTTTGGACATGCTGAGGCCATGGAACACTACACTGATGGAGCTGATTTGAAGCGTGTCATGCACCGCTACCTTGTTTTGCAAATTGCAGGTAGATGGAGGCGTACTGTAGCCCCCGTAGCCTTTACTATGATGTGCAGATCCAAAATGCATTTGCACCATTTTTTGTCGCAGTTCCTTGAGACTCAGCCGGTGTTTGATGGGTTACGCAACCTTTTGTAGCCATTATTTGCATCACATCGCCAGGATGCATGCACATCAGATGACGCCAGAGTTCTTGTGACATCGATGCAGTTTAGGGGTGTGTGAAACCAGTTGCAGGCCTAGTGACTCTAGTATTTGTTGTCCACCATGCAAAGCCACTATGCCAAAATGGAGCTTCCATGTACCAAACGACAAATTGACTCTGTTGGGTAAGTTTTGTCCTAGACGTTCAGCACCCTGCTGGAAGATGGACACACATTGAACCTGCCACAAGACTTGTAGCCCCCGCAAAGCTTTGCTGAATGACACCATTAGCTTCCGAGAGCTTCAGCTCTTGTAGACAAACTTGTGCCAAGGATTCAGTACTTTTCGCGCTTGTCGCCGGAGACTGCAAAGAGCTTAGCACTACTATGTTGCTTGGTGTAGGTAGACAGTGGATAGCACTCCATCACTGCATACAGGGGCAAACGACCTCAGAGTGCTGTTTTTTGAGCGCATGTGACAGCCAACCTACCCACCTCTTTGAGCCTTGCTCGAAGAATCGATTTGGTCGATGGGTGGTCGGTCTGTTGGTATCAGCAGTGATCTCTGCAACTCTGGAGGCCCTCGAGTGCCTCACGGATTTGATGCGACACAATCGCCAGAACCTGCAGGTGGCAGTCAAGGCCTGGCAGAGAGGCTATGGAGTATGGCAACTTAGGAGAAGGATGAATAGCACCTGTAAAATTGCGACTGAGAACCACGATACCTCAAGAAGTTCATTTGTTGGTATGACTATTGTAGGGAAATCTGATCCTTTTCAGATCTTCAGGTTTGTCCAGAGTCATTTTCACAGTCATCTTCGGTACAGCGACAGGTGGCTATCCAGTATCACGAGCAGATTGGTGCGGTGAAGATCGTGGAGATGTTTGAAAGCTTTGGCTCCAATGAAGGCTAGTTGGTACTTGCACACTCTTGAGGATTGATGACTTGCAATTCAAGTCCTTTCTTTTGACACTGGCTGACTGTCAGTTTCCCCTCAACAGTCCGAAAACCTGCATCAACAGCTAGAGACCCAGAGACCTGCATCAGGCATTTTCTACTTCCTCGGTGCGATTTTGAACACCAGCGTCGAGCTGAGCACGAGCTGAACTGATGTGTCTGATGACTGACTGATTCCTTTTCGCCCGTCCCACTTTGCACTTTGCACACCAAGCGCCCTCTGAGGCACCGACCCTGACGTGCATTTCAAATATATCCAGGCCGGTCCCACCTCATGACTGGCGATGAGGGTTGATGTTCTAAAGCCACCCAGCATCTGCAGGTGTTTCATCCTGAATACATAGTGGCCTTCCAACTGCTTGTCTGACCCATTTGTTGGCTTTCAGGCAGCTAGCCGAGTGGGCAACATGCAGGAGGTGGTGCACTGAGAATTTGCAGCCAGAAGGACTCCAGCCTTCAGCTGTATTTTTGTATCCTAACCCGAGCAAACAGTCCCGTCCTGGACTATCCCACGGCTCAACCGCTCCTCCACTGCTCAGTAGGATGGTTTGAGAATTGCCTTTCAGTTTGCCCTATGTCGAGTTGTTTAGCTTCTGTGCCGATGGTAAACCTAGTGACTTTACCCGACTCACCCCACAGGTTGAGCGAGTCTGCCGCGAGTCCCAAGTTTATGACCCAGCAAGTGGCTCAGCATGCGAGTCTGCAGTGATTCCTGCTTGTTATAGGTTCTAAACGTAGCTACTGTCGGCATGTTTCAGCAAAGGTATCGTCATTGCGTCATTGAAGACCGTCATTGCTTTGAGAGCGGGGAAACCACCGACCCACGGTTGACTCCTCAACAGTTGCAGCTCTTCACTCCGTTTCGTCACTAAGACCGCGGTGAAAAACTTCCTCAAGGAGGCCAAGTTGTCGTGAGCTTAGTGGCCAAACAGTCACCTGCTGTCTCCTGTCCCATGCCCAAAAGGGATATGGTCCAACATTCTAGATTCTAGATCGATTCCTTGACCAGGTGGGGGTGACCACCTCCCGGCGGATTTGTTTGGGACGCAAAGTAAGTAAGGAAGTAAGGAACTCTCGACTCTTTTGTCATGTTTGGATCTTTTGGGACTTCGGAGTGCCGCCTTCCCCGCTCAAGCGGCCGTGGAACGTTTTCGGTCACCAGGCCAGACCCTCGACCCTTGATCTATGTCTGCGACCTGCATGACTTCGTGGAGGAGCAACATGACCCGTGGGTTTTCCTTGCTTTCTTGGAAGGACACCCGAGAAGACTCAGTTCTCTTTTGGATTTTTCCTGCATTTTTTCCAACTTCCCCCAGGAGCTGACAGACTACCTTTACAAGAACTCACTGATGAAGTACATCGAGGTTGGCTCTGCAATGATGCTTGCTTTCAGGGGTGTCGTTGGGAATCTGGCTGATAAAGTATGAACTTATGAACTGTGCGCTGAAACCACATGAGTTGCAGCTTCCGTCGGCTTCACGGGGAAGCTTGGGGATGGAGGAGTTTCGTGACCATTTCACCTCTGCTCGATCACCGAGTGTCGTGTGTTGCAAGCTGCCAGCATCCCAGGTCTACGTGGTGAAGGTGAACCCTTTGAAGTGCCCACAGGCTGGGAGGAACATGCGAAATGGGACACAGCAGAAAAGAGGATCGAAAAGAGGATCGAAAAGTGTAACAGTGCAACACTGTGCAGCTGTCGTTGTCGCTGCGATCGCACAGAGCCGCCAACATGGGACTTGTGCGGCCGTCCGCAGCCGTCCATCTGCAGGTGATTGGAAGCCTCATTGACTTGGATTGCTCCGAAGACTTCATCAAGACCCTGCTGCAGAATGCCGGAAGCCTCAGAAGCGCCAGTCCACGCAGTGATGTGGGTGTTGGTCAATGTTCCCGATAACATAGAACTAGCAGAGCTTCTTGTCACTAGTAGCTACGTGCTCCTAGTAGTACGGCCAGGAGCCCCTAGTAGCGTTCTTGCTCCTAGTAGCGATGCCCTTTGCTCCTAGTAGCTATTGTCATTGGGTTCATCCCAGGGCCAAGGCCTTGACCCTCAGACATTTAAAGATGCAAAGCACTACGGCTGACAGACGATTGGCGTTGAGTTCATTGGACACTGACGAATGTGGCTCTGTCGCTCTAGATGAGGAACCCACCCCTGGGTGAAACCTGGGGTGTTTGCGGTCTCCCAAGATTATAGTACATAGTTTGTGCTGTGTGATGTGAGCCCAGCCAAGGTTCGCGCTGCCTGCCCAGCGGAGCCATTGGTGGAGCAGATTGAGAAGAGGATGCTCCGAAGGGCTTGATGAACATTCTCGTTGGCATATCTATGGGAGAGATGCCAGTTCTTTTGACTACCTGCTACCTCCTCTTGGGAGCCAGAGCCTCTTGCAGCTGAGGGCAGCCAAATTATTGAAACTCAATATCCTTTTCTGTTTCATCAAGAATCAAGAATCTACCTTTTCAGGAGTGGACCATTACAGAGGCACTTGCAAAGGTGAAAATCCCTACCCTGCAAGCCAAACTGCCATGTTGAGAAACCCAAGTCATCTCCTTCGAAGGGGACTTGCTTGGCGCGTCAATTTTGCTTTTCCGTTGCATTCGCCCCATACCCAAACCGCCGCCGGCGGCAGGAACCGCCTGCGGCTGTTGTTGCCATGGCTTGAGGCCCGTGTGGCAGAGGGCAACCAGGAGCCCTGTGTGAGCAGCGGCGAGCCAAAAATAGAGGTGTTGGTGTCGGTCTATAGAGTATGATATACACGCATATATATATATATACATACACACATAACATGAGGTTTTGTATGGTTTGCAAGCTGGACAGGTAGAATTTCATTCCGTTGACGGAACGGCCTGTGACTTTTATCCTGATTCCATCTCTTTCTTCCTGCGAAGGATCCTCACCTGCACAACGCCATGGCGAAGCAGAAAGCTCAGAACCGGCTGCCAAAAGCTGGAAAAGGACTCCAAAACACATGTTTTTCAGAGGCCGTACATGTGCGGAGTTCTTCCGAGATTTGGCCTACGAAGAACTTTCATCTACAAAGAGCTAAACAACATACACACACACACACACTCAGTGACAATGTATATCATTCGAAGCGCTCTCACCGTCATCCGTTTGTCAACAATTCTTCATTTTCCGGCCAGCCAGTCAGCCATGTCCATGCCATTTCTTGCGGAAGCCAAACAATCTTGCTTGCTGAGGATTCTCATCGACACCAATCGTGATCCGGAGAACTTCTTGAAGACCAATGCATTCTACGACTCCAAGATCGTGGGCAAGTGACCCGCCAGGAAGCGATAGAACTGCCTTTCCGGCGAGCATTCCTGCCAGGCTGCCGAGCATTCCGGCGAAGATAACATGTCTTTAGCTCCCCGGACTTTGCCGTTCGAAGTGATGTCGTTCTCGTTCGAAGACGCGGTTCTGCAGACGTTGTTCTCATTCTTTCCGAAGGTACTGTGAGGATCGTGACCCGCACCTGGCCTACACAGCCCCGATCTGAGGATGTCGTTTTTTCGTGTGTGACGGTGAAGCATGCTCTTCAAGGCACCAAAAGGAGTCTTGCTGCCTTGATGTTCTGACACTTTCAGGCCTCAAATGAGTGCAATTCATGGTGCCTGGTGTTTTCTGGTTGAGCAATCTGTTCAATGGAGGCTTGAGAATCTTGAGGCCTACAAGCGTGCTTGGGGCTCCTGTGATGAGGTGTGGGAGGGTGACTCTGGTGTTGGTGCGAATCATTTGGTCCAACAGTCCAACAGCGCTGAAATTCAGCCAGCACGACTCTTGAAGTGCAAGAATCACAGCTTTGAACAGCTCCAACAAGAGAGGTCCAACGGAGACATGATTAATCATGTACTGCAGCACAATGGTTTGACGGTTCGAAAAGACTGGTGAAATCAAAGAGACTCATTTGACCTGATGCGCGGCCCAGCAACTGGTGGACGTCACCAACCGCAACGGCCTCTTCCGTCTGCAAGCCAGGTGCCGTGGAAAGGTGTTCAGAAGTGGTACTTGATTCACGACAATGACAAAGCTCTTTACTGATTTTCTGAGTCCTCTGGACTTTGAGTAATCCTCAATCGTTTGGGAGATGACTGAGATGACAATAGATTCGCATGCTTCCTCCTGTTTCTTCGCTTTCTACCTTCCGTCTGCTCATGATTTTTGAAACAGGTATTTGGTGGAGCGCCAAAGCCCAGACCTTTGGGCCTTGGTTCTGACGCCTGACAACCAGGACAGCGAGTTTGGCAGTTTTTGGACTCAATTTGAGTGGGGGAAGTGCAACGTGATGCTCAATTGTTTATATATTTTTTTCTCCAATTGAGGCTGAGAGATCAACTTGCCACCTAGATCATTCACGTGTGGAGGCCATCGCTACTAGGGTGGAGGCCATCGCTTCTAGGGTGAAGGGCATCGCTATTAGGTTGCACCTTATTTATCTTTTCATGCGGTGCAGTACCGGCGCAATGTCATCGACCAAGTGGTGAGCACAGCCTTGCCGGAGTCCACCAATGCAGATGAGGCCCTCGACGCAGCCACAACAAACAGCTATAGCAATAAAGCTGAAACACAGACAAGAGCTACTATGGTGTAGATCATTTGCCCTTGTGTTCCTATTCAGTCTGGCTCTTTTGATTGGTGTTGCAACGCCGAAGCGTGAGAGTTTTGTTGACATGCAACGATGCGGGAATCGTTAGAGGAGATATGGGACATGCTTTTATTGAAGCTTTGCCCTACTCAACTTCGAATTTGAGTTGAGTGACACAAAAGACTCGTACTGACTTGAGTCTGCTTGAGGCACTTGATATGTTGCACACATGCGGGTCTTGCAGTCTTTGCCCAGTGCATGGTGTGA